ATATAATATTATAATTATAATATTATTGAGTTATGATCGTGTATTTTAAAATATTGTAATATCCATCTTAGGTGGGTTTGAGTGGGATTTGGAGGTGTAATATATGTTGTATTGCTTTATCCTTGCTTCTCTTTTTTCACTTTTTTGATACATTAAATGATAAATTATATAATAAAGAATAGTTTTTCATTTCTTTAATCTTTCCACCCCGTTTCAAGATTCATATTAGAGATCTCCAACTTGAGTTTCAAATTATTAACCATTTAAAACATTCCTTTATGTCTAGTTTTACCTTCTTATCAATGAAATTATTTTGTTCTGCTCATAAAAAATATATATATATAGCTACAGTTAAACAATAACTTTGTTGTCTAGGGTTTCCAAGGTGGCAAGATGGTTGATTGCCCAAAGGGCGGTGCTATAGAGATGACCTTTTCATATCACTTTTTTATACAACTTTCATGTGTTATTAAATGAATAGATGCATTTAATATCACGGGTTCTACATAAATTAAAAAAATTAATTATTTAAATTACGTGTTAAGTTGTACAAAAAGGTTGTCCCAAAATTATTTCCCTTCCCCAAAAGGCAATTTGTCCTTGTTTTTAGGCTACACCCTGTTAGGGTTCTTCTCTCTTTCTCATCTCTTCTATGAACGCTAGAGTAGTTTGGAATGGTGGAGTGACAGGTATAAAAGGACAGGTTGCATGGAGCTTTGAAGTTCTTAGGCTATCATACGTGCAGCCTCAAAAGATTGGGCGATGGGCAAGGGATTCTCAACGTGATCCCTATGCAACTGATACAGGCCAATTTATAGAAGCTGAGCTGGCAAGGTTGTTAGAGTTGATAGAGTTTGTTAAAGGATGGTTGTTAGTTTGTTAAACCAGTTGAAGGAGGGTTGTTAGTCTGTTAAGCCATATTAGTAGTATATAAGAGACAATGCTCTGTGATTGTGAGATGAATGAACGAATATTGAACTTTTCTTTTTCCTTCTATCTCGTTCTTGATTCCCTTTTCTAATCTCTATCTTCTTCTTCTCCTTTTTGGGTCTGTTCTCTCTTGATTCTTCTTCTAATTCTTCTTCTAATTCTTCTTTCCAATTACTGGATCTATTAATTGGTATCAGAGTAGTGATTGCTTGGACTTGTGGTGATGGCTACTCAAGAGTTGAGGCGAGAGTTTGCTGAATTTCAGAAGAAACACGATGCGAACATAGCAAATAGTGACCTCAAGATGACGTCTATAGATAAGGGTGGTAATGTGCCTCGATCCCCGTGGGGCTCCGCAGGGATCCCCGCCACCGGAATGGGGTGAGGAGGAATATTCCTCTCCGTGGGACGAGGATGGGAGTATTTTCCCTCGTGAAATTTCACCCTGTAGGGATTCCATCCCCGCAAAAATTAAAAAAATATGCAAATTAATTTTATTTTCAATTTAATTCAATCTTCAAATCCAAACCCAATCGAATAAAAATTAAATTTAACACAATTTTACCCAACCCAACCCAAAAAAATTAACCTAACCCATCATCAACAAATTTGTTGATTTAGTTATTTATATTAAATTAATTTTTATTTATATTTGGAACAAATTTATTAATTTAATTATTTATATTAAATTAATTTTTATTTATATTTAGACAATTTATATTTGATTTATATTTAAAAAATTTTAATTAATTGTACTTAAATTTTTAAAATTTTATTTATTATAATTAAATATTAATTAATTATATATATAAAAAATTTAAATTTTGATGTTAATTAGTGAGGAATGAGAATTCCCGCAAAAAACAAGGATAAAGGGTAAAATTGCTCTTTGTAAAAAATTTCTATAAAGATCCTTATCCTCACTATTTACAAAGATAAAGATGAGGATGGACTCCCTAACCTCATAGACCCATTGACATCCTTATTCCCTTGTCTAATGATCGATATTTTTTATCAAGTGGGAATCACTTTCTATAAGTTTTGCATTTAAACTCGATGTATGATATCTCTCTCTTTCTCAAAATGCCCTTGTCCAAGAAGAAAGAAATCAATATTTTTTTGATGTAGAGTATAAAAATGGCATAAATGTACACAACACGGATGGAGCTTGACTAAAATTTTGGGGGCCATGGCCCCTAAT